ATACAGTGGGGTGATGGTAGTTTGAAGTAAGATGTCAGCTGCCAGTTAATAGACTTTTTGGCGTATGAGTATACGTTGTCCAGTGTGCACCACGTGGAGGTAAATCTATCGCACACTCCAGATATGGGAGGTATTGTTGTCTGCTGAAGTGACAATTACTGGACGCTGACCAAGTGCTAGTTTCCACAATAAATTGCTCTTAAATGGAAAAGACGCTAGTAGCCCAATCCAACCTTTTAGCTCAATGAGCTTTAATTCTGCAATCTGATGATTTCAAAATGGCATATGAAATGAAACATTTGATAGAGCAAATAAATACGTACATTTAAGACAGTTAAACTATGAATGGTATCAATATTTTCCTCTAATTTGATTGGCCACAAAATGAGGGCTTTTATGAAGACAAATGAAATCTTGAATGAATGCGACATCAATGGCTATGTGTATCCTCTATAAATGTATCATATGCCATTAGGATTAAAATGTCCAGTTATTCTGGACAATATTGCAAGAAGACCACGCTCTTGCTTCACGTTCTAATCTATTTTACCATTTTGAGGGCACCGACTTTCCACCAATAATACCAAAATCCGTTATCTCCTTATTCACTAGCGAATGGTTGCAGCACGTATCATTTGGTGCCGGATATGATGTGTGTGGTCTGAAAGGACGACGTAACATCTCTTTGTTATGCATTGTAAGTGTAATATTTATTTATATAAAATGGTAGGGTTTATTATATTTAACATTAGTTCCTTATTTTACATCTGGTGGTAAAGATAGAAGAAACAAAAACGTCTAAATTGTCGAGAGGGGGAACGGAAGATTGATTTACAGGTGTTAAGGAGGCAGACACAAAGGTAAAAAAGGTAAGGTGAGGCGAGTGCTGTGGAGTGGTTGAATATAGCATACAGTGGGGTCATGGTAGTTTGAATTGAGAAGTCAACTGCTAGTTTATGGACTTTTTTTGCTCATGAGTATACGTAGCCCATGCTGTACCACGTGGAGGTAAATCTATCACGCACCTCTGAAGTGTAATATCGATTTTGCGTTAGTAACACGTCATTATATGTTGGTGTTGCAAAATTAACCTTTATTCACCTCTCGGTTTGTTGTCTGACCAGTCACTTGTCTGGCCCGTGTTGAATTAACTTTCAATTCTCAATCCTCTTCGATCAATTGCAGCTCAATTACATTAATTAGTTCTAGGTTATTTCAATAACTATCTCTTTAACGGAATAGACGAATTTCCATCATAGTTGCCACCTCCTAACGGTGAAATAACGTTGTGTTACAACAAATTTCAGCAGTATTAGAGTCTATCGCATCTCATAAAATGGTAACTGGACTTCGCAAATAATAAATATTGCAACAACTTTATATTGCTTTAATCTTTCGGATATTTAATCTAATGAACAGAACTGATCTTTTCCCAAATCAGCTTTATTAATCTCAATATGGTGTCTTCGGAATTTTTCACCAAACTTTCAGAGGTTCTGAAAGGTTGTCACATTTGGGAGTAATTGCTTTTCTTCTTAAAAGTTTTTCTTTGACCTTACATTTACTGGAAAATGACTCAATTACGAATTTCGACAAAAATATTGTCTTCTGACAATTTTGCATTTCCTTCGATTTTAAGGTAGTTAATCTCAAGACCTCAAATTTTTTAAAATCATTCAATCAATTTTGTTTGATGGCCACTTTATGGCATTTGAGTAGTTTGTTTTCACCTCTTAGAAAATATTTCGAAAGTTCAATTATGATCATAAGATATCGAGTCTTTTGCATTATTATTTACAAAGCGAGCTAATCATTCAAACAATATATTTAACGAAAGTTAATTTAAATGTTATCCAACGATTTCTTAAAATTAAAAATTTATCCAACGTAAAATTTTGAATTTTAAGAAATCGTTTTTAATTATTTTCTAAAGTAAGAATTGATAGTAGATATGAATTTAATTCAATTTTTTAATTTGTCTCTTACCGCCAGTTTTCCTGCTATTTTATTCAGACAGTTCTGAATACTTTGGACAATATGACAATGTCGAAAATTTGTCGATATTCTTAAATACTCTCCTTAGAAAAAGCAAATACTGTAATATTTTTGCATAATACATCTCGAGTTGGAAATTTGAAATGAATATATAATTTAGAAATTCCAATTGATTATTTTTATTCACTTCGTTATTTTAGACAATATGCCAGACAATGTTTCATTGTTTGAGGAAGTCTAGATATTTTTATTCCGTTTTAATGATATTTTCCGATATCATAAAACACTCATTACGATAAGTTTAATGATGCATTACTCTTGCATGAATAAAATTCTCATTCAATTGTTTAAGCATTTTATTAATCTAGATTTGACAACTCGAAATGAAAATAATATAGAAATTCGAATCGATCATTTTTAAAATTGTTCAAGACGTTAATGATATCTATGACCTCTTAGTTTCTCAGTCTCTTGTCAAAACTGTATGCTTCGAGTCCTTCAACTGAAATTCCATGCACATTGACATAAAAGTTTTCAGATAGTGCAAGTCCACTCGTTCGGGACTCTTGCGTGTGAAGTGCGAATCAAGAGCCTTAAACTTGGAATTAAAACTGAAATTTCCTCGGAAAAGGGGTGTGCAATAGACTTACCTCCACGTGGTACACCCTGGGCAACGTAAACTCATACGGCAAAAAAGTCTATTGGCCGGCAGTTGACTTCTGACTTAAAACTACCATGGCCCGACTGTATATCATATTCGACCTCTGTTACAGTACTCATCTTACCTTTTTCACTACCTTTGTTTCTGTCTGCCTCTTTTACATCTGTGAATCGCTCTTCTGATCCCCTTCCTCGACTTTCTGCTACTTTGATAACCATCCCCTCTTTGAAGCCCGAAGTCAGCTATATGGCTAATGATAGCTATCAAGACGCCTGCCATTTAAAATAAATAAAATTTCCTCGGAAATTGTTATGTCCTTCATAAAATTACACTTGCGCGGGCAATTGCCCATTTATTTATTTCAAATGGCAGGCTTTGTGATATTTATCATTAGCCCTTAATCTTTGACTTCAGCTTCCCCCCCCCCCCCCCCCCCCACGCAGGGGCACATATACAGCAGTTCATCAATAGCATTTCATTAGCCGTCCTCTTGCTTCCCAGTATCTCTGGCTTTCCGTCGTTGTCTTTAGGGCTGGGCACCAAATCAGGTTGGTCTTCTCCATTTCCTCCTATAGGTTACATAGAGGGCATGTGGGTTGAGTGTATAATCCCAATCTGTGAAGGTGTTTTGCCAGGCAATTGTGTCCGGTACGTAGTCTAAACTCAGCAACGGCTTCGATTCTTGGCCAGTCGGGTATGTCGGAGAGTGCCACTGTCCGCTGTTTCTCCTTTGTTCGAGCTTTGAGTTCGTTGAACATTGAGGTCCTTAATTCTCTCCTGATTAAGGCCTTCATTGTGTGGAAAGACAGCGGCCTGTCCATGCATTGCAAAATCCTTGTCCACTTCTTAGCATGTGTATCAGCAAGCTCATTGCCTTTAATGCCACAGTGACCAGGAATCCATTGTGCATTGCATTTAATGCCACAGTGACCAGGAATCCATTGTGGAACCACTGTTTTGTTTTTCTCTCTCAGCAGCTCATAGAGTTTTTCACTTTCGTATATCTCAGCTGTTTTGGGTACTCTCTGTTTCCAATAGAGTCTATTGCTGACTGTGAGTCCGGAAGTATCACTGCTTTGGTGAATTTCGTATCCAGGCAACATAATTGTCACCGCTTTTGTGAATTTCGTATCCAGGCAACATAATTGGCACATTTCTATCCTCATGGCCTCTATTTCTCCTTCAATAGCGGATCTATTGTGTGTTGCTGCTGCGTAGAAAGAGAAGAGTTCAGAGTAGACACCTGAACCAACGTTTGCTTGGTTTTCTATGTATGACTCACCTGCACCAACGTTTTTTCTATGTATGACCCATCAGTAATGACTAGGGGCCATTGATGAGAAGAGTTCAGAATAGACACCTGCACCAACGTTTCCTTGGCTTTCCGTGAAGACTTGGAGCCATTGATCTGCAGGATAGTTAACATCGAAGACTTGGAGCCATTGATCTGCAAGATAGTTGACATTGATTGTCTCAAAGGCCAGTGAGTGCATTTGCTCTGGAGGGATGTTTGATTTCCTGAAGTAGTCGAGCAGTTGGGTGCAACACACTACATCAGTGTCTGCTAATGGGTTCATGAGTAGAGGGAGGCTTTTTGGTCTGCCGTCGATTTGTAATGATTTCTTCAGTTCTATGGCTTTCTGTTTTAGACCAGATTGCGCTTTCAAATGTCTTGGTCTATTCTCATAGGTGCTGAAGAACTAATCCATGGGAATGCGCAGTAGCTTCTCATACAGGATCAAGGCCTTTTCTTTGATAAGGGAACATATTGTTGTGCTTCCTGTAACTAGGAGCATTGCATCAATGGGTGTTGATTTTATCCCTCCAGTAATTAGTCGTAATGCTTGGTTGTGTGCCTTCTCGAGGGGTTTGAGAGTCACCTCTGTGGCTGTAATGAGTGGCTCACAGCAATACAACATTATTTGCTGAATAAACATCTTGTAAGTTGTGTTGAGAGTTGAGCGTGCACAGCCCCATACGCTACCAGCAAGACGCTTCAGTACATTCAGTCTATTGGAGACTCGTTCTGCTATTTTAGCAATGTGACTTTTCCACATTAGCTTGTGTCAAACGTCACTCCGAGATATGTGAACTCATTGGTTTTTTCTATGGTAGTATCCTTGTACCTTAGAAGCGAGTATATGCTGTGACGGGCCAGAGAAAATGTTTGGAATGCAGTTTTCGTGGTGTTGATAACTATTTCATTGTTGTCGCGCCAGTTTGCTAGTANTTCTTTCTTGGGTCTTTCTCTGTTGTTTTGGAGGTTTCTCAGAAATTTGAAAGTGCGTTGGCTATCACTTTGGTAGTTGATACTTGAGATGAACTTGTCGAAGGAAGCCCGTTTAGCCTGTAAGATGGCTTGCCTTAGGACAGCTGATTGTCGTCTCCAGGCTTTTACGCCTCCGTTCTTCCAGTCTGATCAGCAGTGTTGCGAAGGGCATCCCTCTTTCTTTTCAGTTCCTCAAAATGTTTAGACCATAACACTCGATAGTGTATAGTCTTGCCTTGGGGAATAGTTTTCTTTGCACATCTGTTCATAATATTCGTGATATCAGTGCAAAGTTTATCAGGATGTTGGTTGAAGTTGAGGGGACTTGAATGAAGTTCATCCTCTAAAAGGTTTGTGAATCTAGGCCAGTCAGCCTTCTTGAAGTTCCATGATAGCTTAGTTGGCACTTTTCTTGTCATGCTTTTGCTGCCGATGGTAATACTATCAATGACTGGTTTGTGACCAGAACCAGGATCGTCAATTATTTTGCGGCGTGTATGCTCGCTGATGTCTCTTGAAGCCAGGAGTAAGTCAGGAGTTGTTATGGTTTCATTGTAGTGCAAATATGTAGCCGGATCCTCATTGGTGTAAATAAGTTCCAGAGGGTTGCTATTTAGCATGTCTTCGATTTCCTTTCCAGCTATGTTTGTATTCTTGTAGCCCCATCTGGTGGAATGGGCGTTGAAGTCTCCTAATACTACAGTTTTGTGTGAGATGTTCAGAAAGTCTAAGTTGGGACAATTCTGGGGAGGATTATAGACTGTATTTATCTTGAATTGGTTTTGACATTTCCAAACGTTTAATCTGATTATTTCACATTTGTCTTGTGTCGAGCCCATACTCTTGATTAGATCGTAGTGTGAGGTGAGGCCTTCTTGAACTCCAGTTAGAATTCCACTTGCAACTTGCCGGTATTTAGGTAGATTGTACAGGGTGTAACCTGATAATTGGTAGTACTTCAGTTTGTCATCCAAAATGTTTGCTTCCATAATCGTGAAAATGTCTACATCATAGGTTTGTAGGATTTTCTGCACTTGGATCTTTTTGTCCTGTGACATCCCTCCAGCATTCCACTGGAGGATCTGAAGACGTTGTGATTCGCCCTGACGAGAGGGATTCCTCTTATAGCCTTGTTTTAAGCAAGGCTTAATAAATCGAAGTCAGATCAAATGCCGAGTGATAGACCTTTTTGCCGTACGAAGATACGTTGTCCAGGGTGCACCACACCATTTTGCCGTACAAAGATACGTTGTCCAGGGTGCACCACGTGTACGTTGTCCAGGGTGCACCACGTGGAGGTAAGTCTATCGTATTCTTAAGAATAATTGTTTAGAAAACCAGCAAGGGTTGAGCACCCCACAATTGTCCATAATATCACAAATTATTGCTAGTTGACCTACTTATATAAATATTTTGGGCATATAATAAACCGCGATAGGGATTTCTGTTAAATATTAAAATTTTATTAATTAAATTATAATTAAATCTCGAACTTGTCAGGCAGAAAATTTACCAGCTGTGCGCGTGGATTGCCGTCACTTGATTCTTGGTCCTGCTTGCAAGGGTTTATAACTAGATCTCTAACTACGTCCAATTTACAAAATTACCTTACTTGAGTTGAAGTTGGTAGAAAAGGGTTTCTTGGGAAAGCTTTAAGTGGAAGCCAATCTTCCATCACTAATTTTCGTGGTCAGAAATGATGTCTTTTAAGGCGTTGAATGGCCAAATGTTTTCGTTTTACTAAATTCAATAAATGGGTGGACCATTTGTTTTGGAGCAGTTGATTCTAGTTTAAAGCTAATTAATTAATTAATTAATTACTATTTTTACACAACCAGATTGGATTTATATTTCTATAATGTGGGATTTTTAGTCCAATGTCTATTTTTATTAACACAAAATGATGAATGATTTGCTTCCAAGTTGGCTGATGATTACATCGATTGCTTTGCTAAAGATGTTCTAGACTATCCAGACTTAAGGCTTCGAATTCAGTCGACCTAAAAGCCCACTGCATGAAGAATTGAAGCCCTCGAGTTTCCCTCGAGAAAAATTCAATTATTTCAATGATTATAGAAAGTGGTTTATTTTTCGGAAAAAATTTCAAAATACTACTTTGATAGTGATCTGTTTTTGCAAAATAGCTTATCCTTTATACTTTATAAACTAGACTGGAATAAAGTTACTTGCATGTAATAAAAAATTTTACACCTGTATCAGGCTATTGGGCAATTCATAAATAATAAAATTTTAATTTATGTTCATAACGCTAATACCCCAGAATAATGTTATATTTTATAGCAGTAGCCTTGGTAGTTTGAAAAAGTGTTTAGGATATTGGGACAGTTAAATTTATTGATTTTGTTAAGGCAAAATTTAAATTAATCAACTGCGTAGTTAGAGCTAATTCAAACAAGCACTCAGGAACATGAAGAGTGAAATGAAATTTAAACTTCGGAGCAAAAGTACCCGAAAGAGTGAAATTGACTCATTTCGCACCTATTATTCTCCTCTTGAACAATTTTTCAGATTTTGAACCTTTCCATGTTAACAAAACCTTTTTTTTCTCTCCTGTGATATTGCTAATATAGTACATCATAGAAGACTGGAAATTTTTTCGCCTAAATTTAACCCTCCCAATGTTTTGTTTAGTCAACACGTTCCTGCTGATGAACTTTCTATCACAATAATTTGAACGATTTTGAAGCTGTTAGAAGTAATGACCTTCTCTGTTCAACATGTGATGAATTCTATTCCTCTGTTAGTAACTTTGCGATTTTGCAGACATTCAGAGACCGTATGGTTATTACTATTAGCTTATGAAATTATGAACACTTGAGAATGGGTAGTAATGTTTGAGCTTTGCTGTATGATAAATGTACTTATTGAAATAGATAAAGATTCACTCGGTTTCGAAAGTAGACTGATGATAATTAATGTGATAGAGGTGGTAAATTGTTTATCAACTACAAATGAAATCAGATTATTTCAATGAAAGGCATTAGCAATAAATTAGATAGTGTCATGGCAAGTCTACCGCATTTTGCCTCTTACTACAATTTTTTAACTATCCTTTTAGACTATGGAGTTCATGTAACCAAATAAAATGAGCTTCAGTTGCCTATTATGAGATGCACTCTAAATATTTGACTTAAATAAAATGAGGGCATCCCGGAACCTGATCACTCCAATCACGAAAAGCTCACCTCTCGAGTTCACTAGAATTAACCTGCCCAATTAGTAACCCACACCACATTTTTATCGTGACTACTTATCCGACAGGCTAACGGCCCAATATAACATATGGCAGACCACAGTCTCTACCTTAGCACACAAAAGAATCAAGTTAAGGTATAAGATGAACTGAATGTACCTCAATGGAATTTCTTTAATTGGTGGCTTCTTCCTCTGTGCTCTCCAGCACGCTGTGCCCCTAAAACACATTAACCAAGCGGTTTTTATTAAAAATATATTTGACGTTTTCATACTAAAATAACGTTTAATTATTTAAGTATTCCCATTTGAACCACTGTTATTATTATTTGTTTCATTGATTGTGTGTGAACACTTTTCTTGGTCACAGAGACTCATTAATTTTTTGCTTATATTTCTCTATTTGGATAAAAAATTCTTGTTGAGGTAAAACCTTGATCTTGCCTATGTAGAAAAAATCTCAGAATTAAAATAACAGCCAGAGGCATTAAAGAGCTTGCCAACTTTTCCTGGGAAGTAGAGAGTGGAGTCATTAAGCTAATATCACAATAATAAGAGAGAAAATGGTGAAGAAAAAATATTTCTTATTCAAAGTGCAAACTGCTAAATGAAAGAGAACTTATTCAGTAGAAAATTTGAATGCCGGCAGGAAAATTGCATAAATAGTTAAATATGAGAGTAAAAATACCGATCTAGTCAATGTACAGCAGTGGGTTGGAAGCTTTTTAAATATTTTGAATTTGATTTTGCTAGTGTTTTTCAACAACGTCAACGAAAGCAATAAATGAAATGCTGTTTGCCATTGTTATTACGGTTTGCGTGCTTAAAATATTTATAAAGAATGAAACAAATTTATTACTTGAAACATGCACGCATTCACATTAATAATTTACGCCTCTAATCTTACTTTGCTCCCTCTGTCCGATAACTTTTGCTTTCTAATCGTCCAGGATAAACGATGTTTTGAAATTTGCAAGTATAGTAGTTGATATAAGTTAAACAATTATTTGTATACCAATGTTGATAGTTACGATTGCATTGAAAAAGCATATAATATGAGCTGTAAAAAGGGAACTATCTAGCTTGCAAATAATAATTTATCTATGAAATTAATGAATAAAGAATTTTATTTTTTTATGATCAATTATAAGTACTTAATCTTAATTTGCACGGCAGATTTAAACAAAAACTAAATTGGAGGAAATAGCGTAGTGTTTCAAGTAGTGCAAATCTCTAATAGGGAGATGGATTTGGTTTGGATATTTGAAATAATTTTCTAATTTAGATAATTAATCTTACCTTGTCGCAGTAATGATGGGCTTATGATTCTGTCCATCCAATCTTATTTACAAAAGTTTATCAAAGTAATTTATGCAAAGCATTATTATCTCGATGAGATCTTTGCAATTACCTTTCCAACTTTGCACAAATCTCGTTCCACTGGGAGATTGGAAATAATGCAAAATGTCTATTTAGTGAAGAGAATATGTTTGACAAGCGAAGATGAATGAGGCAAGATATGTGGTTGTCGGCAATAGTTAGTTAGTTTGTTTAGATTTTATATTAAATTTCGCA